TCACTACTTTCAAGAGTACCCAGCGTTCACGAGACTAAGATCATTGGGATATTGAGTTTAGGCGAATTTTTAACTACATAATCCGCTCGTTCGCTTTATCGATTAAGTTTTGGCCGCCGTCCGGAATTTGGTATCACAAATGACAATCTCTAACTGTCTCAAGAGCAAGTTTGGCCACTGTAAATAACCTCTACGGCAGCCAGCGAAAGGCACATACCTCTAGATAGTTGATTAAAGCATTGCGACCAGTAGGTCTATTGTGCCCTTCATCGGTGTTATTCCAAAGTGTCTTTACAGTCTCTGTTCGAATTAATTCTGATTGCTACTTTTATCCAGTGCTTTCCATCAGACTAGACCTCCAAAGTTTAAAAACCGTCAGATGACTATGGTCGACGTTGCGATTTCACGCTACACTCTAAAAAAAATCTGTTTAAAAATGAGACTATAAATCGAGTACCTTTTTTTTAGTTTTAAAATTGTTTGGTGAACTTACACGATGAAGATTTATTTTTCTCGTTTACACATTTTCGTGTGTAAAAAATCCTTTTTGTTAGCGGCTTTACACAATTCTACGGGAGAAGTCAAACAGCAGATATGTATTTTGTAGCTTGTACAAACTTTCGTAGTAAATTTCCGCACACCACAGCAGCTATATGACACTCTAAAAAGTCCGAAATTTAAACAAACTATACGTTGAATAATCGAGCATGTAATTTCGCGAATATAAAGGTAGGAAATCAGTAACCTACCTTTTAGCTAGGAAATTTACATAATTTTTTTAGAGTGTAGTTGATACTCATGCCCATTTAAGTAAGTAAAAACACTACCCAGTGCCGATTTCATCGTATTCCTTTAAAGGTGTCTAATAGTTCATTTAATACCATGAACTACAGAAAGTGGCTATAGCACCCCTCCCTGCTGAGTTATTCTTTTCATCACATGCCATGTCACTGCAGTAACTTTTAATTGGTACCGAACACTTCATGGAGGATGCTTTTGGCGTACTACGCTGGGGATACAAGTACAAGCCAGGTTAGCTAGTAGGATACAAAGTGAATATTTGTTCGGCTGTTCGGTGTTCGCACCTTATACTCGTATAAAATTATCTGCTCGGAGGTTCGTCCCACTACTTGTCAAACTTAGAAGGACTCCAGTTGAGGTGGGTTTGAATCTTTTTAAAACCCGCCTTAAGCACGCAGACTGATTAATACTAATTTATCATTAACCTGTATACATAAAGTGGTAAATAAATAAATTGGAACGCGACATTTTAACAAGTTTTGCCAAAAATTATAACAATTCTGCAAAGTTGCGTCTAAATTTTCAATTTTATAATCCGATTTTTCAGATTTTTTTGAAAGTGCGGTTTTTCTTTAGGATGCACCACTCTCCATACACAAAAATCGGCATTGTTTTTCCAATAGAAATACATACGTTATACGTGAGCTAGACCTGTTTGAAAATACCATTAGAAATCTACTTTTTTTTTTGTAATTGAAATTAGTTTTTATTTTTATTTTTTTTTCTAAAAACTTACTTCATATTTTGAAAATTTCTCTCATTTTCATCGTCTTCTCGTTCGGTATGGTTGTCGTCTCACCTTTGCCAAACGTTTCTTCATCATATAGCGCGTTCGTTAGCCGCGGCTCATGGCCTTGTACCAGGATGTACCCAATCGCAACAAGTCGTCCCAATTTCGCTGGTCTTCGCCCGTTAACTTCACCAACATCCTCTTTATGCTTCGGTTGGCCCTCTCTGTTGGATTCTTTTGTGGTGAATAGGGCTGCTGTTTGACACCGTAATCTTGTAAGAGCCATTTGAACTGTCTACTTGTGAATTGAGCACCATTATCGGTAATTATTACATTTGGAATGCCAAATCTGGCCAGTATCCGTCCTCGGAACGCTTTGGTAAGGTTGTCGGCGGTCGCCTCTACCCACTTAGCAAAGCGTTCAAGGAAGACCATCACCATGGTATTTTTTCGTGCTTTGACCGTGGTAGTGGCTCCTCCATGATCTGAGTCAGCTTGCTGCTGGTTCGGCTTGTACGTTTGGAAGGATGGACACTGTCGTACGTACCTTTTTAAAACCCAGAACATTCCGGGCCAATAATAGCGGGTGACCACTAGTGCGATTGTTTTCCGGAAACCCATGTGTCCGGCGGTTTGATTGTCGTACACTTCCTGTAGCACTCTGTTACGCAATGGCTCCACCCCACAAAATTTCCATGGGATTGCGTCTTCGTCGTCCATCTGTACTGCGATGTGGCGGTATAAAATACCGTTTTCGATAACGTCATCTGGAAACTTCTCGTGAATTTTGGTTCACCTCCTCAATTTTCCCTTGGAGCCACTTGCATGTAGGCCATTCCTTCTTCTGTCCAAGCAAAGCAATCAAATTAAAGAAATTTCGGCGGAAGTTTTAAAAATATAATAAATTTTGTAATTCCGCAACTTCTTGGGTGAAACACTTTAATGTTTGCTCCTACATATATTAACATCCATTTTGACGTGGTTAATACCTCTTTAAATCTGTATAAGTTTAACCCATTTTTCGAATATCTGTATGCTCCGGTTTTATAAAGTTCCTCTTGCGAGCGTGTATTTCTTTACTTACCTTTCTGTGTAATAAGTCGTTCAACTTGTTGATAAATACGTAAGTATTTACCCATGCATATATATATATGTGTATGTAGGCAGCTTGCAGTTATATAGTAAATAAGCAAACCAATATATATTGGTAAAAGTGGAGTCTCGGCCTGAAACGCTTTTAAAAATTGGGCAGTTAAGTTCGCAATGGGCTCATAGTAAGTACATTGCAATAAAAGATAAAAAAAAAGCTAGAATAAGGAGTTAACATACATACATACATACATACATATTGCCTACCTTTAGCATTGCAAAAGATCTTCATCAACCAATAATTTCGACCACACACGGCAAGGTGAAAGGTCAGTTGCGTGAAGGAATCTACGGTGATACGTACTATTGTTTTGATGGCATACCATACGCCAAGCCACCGCTTGGAGAGTTGCGATTTAAGTCGCCACAGCCGGCAGAACCTTGGCTAGACGTGCGCGATTGTACTAAGTGTCCACCCAAGTGCATACAAACAAATCGTTATTCGGGTGCAGTTGAAGGATCTGAAGATTGCTTGTATTTGAATGTTTACGCGAAAAAGGTCAGTTTCGACAATTATTGGTGCTGCCAAAATATTTCTATAACTTAAGTGTTTGTAATAAATACCATATAAATAACAAGATAGAAACACAGGAAAATCATATCCTTTTTCTTATAAAAAATAGCTCAACTCCGAAAAGCCCTTACCCGTCATTGTATACCTGATTGGTGGACGATTTACAACGGGCGATGCTTCACGCACAGCTTGGGGTCCTGATTACCTTATGATGACGGAAGTTATATTCATAAGTATTGGATTTCGTTTGGGAGCTTTGGGTGAGTACAAAAAATATATATCAAAATAAATATGTAGTACAGCAAAAGGAACAGAAGAATTTAAATGTTTTGGAACCAATAACAAACGGCTAAACCAAAACAGCTTTTGCGATGGTTGTGGAGTGATAGTCATTGTACAGATGCAAATCTGCTTAGTTCAGTGCACTAGGATTCTAGGTGTAACTCTAAGCAAATTTACCGAATAAACCGTGAATGTAAAATAAATTTTGAGTTTGCCAAATTGCGAAAATTGGTTCTGTAGTGTCGTAAAGAAGTGCTTAAATTTTGTATAAAAACAATGGTATGAGGCATAAATTTTCGCACTTATCATTTTCTTATAACTTCCACCAGATGGCTCAATAGTGAAAATTTTCACAGTTTCTTCGAAACATATATTCGCAATTTGGCAAACTCCAATCTGATTTTAGACCCATGGATTCTTCGGCAAATTTGCTTAGAATTACACATAGAATCTCCTATGCTATAGGCGTGATGGCGTAGATTTTATGGCCAGTGGGGTACCATGTGAGCATACTGGCATTTCAGTTTTATTCAAAAGTTGTGTGTCCTCTCAATCCAAAGCTTCATATTGCTCTGCAGTACTTACTCTGGCCTTTAGGGTTTACCCATTCGGTAATTGTTAGTCTCGCAGAAACCCAGCTGTGTACACAAAATGCTTCCAGCCACATGAAGACAAACGAAGAATTTTCTCTCGCCAGTTTGCCGCTGGCCACCTAATTATATAGAAAAGGACATCGATGAAGACCCAGAGACTCAATACGTGAACTATTTTGGGATTTTAGAGATTTTCGGGATTCTCGGGACTTATCGATGTAACAGTCGATGTTTTTATCGGTTATGTTATCGACATTTTTATCGATATTGTTACCGATTTTTATATCGATATCTTCGGAACTTCTCGACATTATAGTCGATATTTTTATGGATTTTGTTATCGATATTTTTTATCAATTTAGTAATAGATTTTGTAATCGATATTTCTAGCGGTTTGTTATCGATTTTGTTATAGGTTTTGTTATCGAAATTGTTATAGATTCTGTTGTCGATATTTTTATCTAATTTGTTATCGATATTTTTATCGATTTTGTTATCGAATATTTATCGATTTGGTTCGATTTTGTTATCGATGATTTATGGGTTTTGTTATCGACATTTTTATCAATTTTCTAAACGATTTTTGTGATCGATTTTGTTTTCGATTATTTATCCATTTCGTTATCGATATTTTTATCGATTTTCTAATCAATTTTACTTGTATGTGAATCTCGCCCGTTCTAATAACTAAGTGTATTGACCCACTTTATCAGCTGGTACACGCTTGTTATTTCCGCTCTTTCGGTTAAAAAAAAAATGCTTTAAAATTGGCTTGGCAACACCTCGCGAGTAACCGCGTATAAAAAGAGTTCGAAAAAGTTCACGCACACATTTTGAAGTGTTGGTAAATACATATTTCGAAACAAGCCACCTTTTTACGTGTATTAAGTTATGTA